TGTTAAAGCTCATCAATTGGGCACACACTCTGGCATTTTATTGCACACTCGGCGATAACCGGCAAGTCAAATAATATAAGCAGCTGCCTTATATTTTATAATTTAAGTGCCGCGATCCGTTTTGAATGCTCGCGGCTCGTAAAACTAGCAACTGTATATAATATCTGCTGGGATGTGTACAATAAAAATAGATTGCTCTTAAAGTACTACATGATTTACGTATTACACGGCCGCGGCCTGCAATAATAAAACACCTCTGTAAATTATATCATGAAAGCGCTGCCCTCAGCTGCTGCCGTGTGCGGCCGCGGCCGACTACCATGCGCGGCGCCTCCTCCGACCAGAACATTGGTTCGCAGCCCCGACCGGCGTAATTAATACCGCAGCACAAAGCCAACAAAGCCCCGCACTCTCGCCAGGCAATAATAATAATTGCGCGTGTAATTAATTCAATTAAACGCAAACGAATGGGCGCGCGCTATTTCACCGCTTTAATTCTGCGCGAGGATCTTTCAATTAGCTCGGCGGAAACAAAAGCTACACCAAATTGGAATGCGCATTCCAAAGCTCACACCAAATGGAACAAACTTTTTTTGAGTTCAAAATTTTCATTAATCTTCAAAGATGAAATTTGCAAATTATGAATACATATTGAGGGTTTTGAAGCAAAATTTGCAACAGTTAAAGACAAAATGATGATTAATTGCAAAATGAAAACTGTTAAAAAAAGAAGTTCTTTAGAATTTAAAGAAAATTTATGCAAATAAAATTGAATATCTTTTGTTCCTCCTTCAAGAAACGGTCCTCCACAAACAAAAATGTAGAGAAAAATTCAGACAAAACCTAAGATAAATTCTTAATCCGAAGCAATCTGCTTCAGTTGTTACTTTTTTTACACTAGAAATGTCTTTTATTTTTTTTTCTTACTTGAAATCCAAAATGAAAAAGTGGGATTGAGCGCTACAAATGATAAGTTTTATTCAAACGTTCTAAATAGAAGATAAATCAAAATTAAAAATTAAAGGTTCACTATTTTCTTCTTATTTCAAAACGATTTTAAGATATTAAATAAATGTTATATAACATTTTACGCTTGCAATTTTTGTGAAGTTTTTTTTTTTTTTTTAATTTTTACTCTTCTTAATTCTTGTTTTATATTATGCTATTTATTTTGTTTATCTGCGAAGATGACAATAATTTTTTTTAATCAAAATCAACTCTCATTTTAGAATTTGGATGAGAAAAAATATCAACGATTTCATTGATTAAAAGTTGATATAGAATTTGCAAAATTGATTGATAAAGCAACGCAATATTTATTCCAGAGGCAAAGCTTCGTTTGCCAGAATTAGAATAATCCCTGCCTGGGTAAAAGTTCTCGGCATTAATTGAAACTTTTCAGTCTCCGCTCCGAAGCTTATTTTCCATGCCAAAAAGGTATAATTTTTTTGCGACCAACTCATTTTTCAGATTAATTTTTCCGCGTTAACTTTTTTTGTCTCGCTGCCGAGCCGAGAGAGACGAATAAGAATTTATCTGGCAAACATTTCACTCCGGCGACGCAAACTGACGCGTCCAATTAAAAAGCGTCGAGATGGCTTTTTCGGGCGCAAAAAAGGTTGGCGGTCGCGTATTGGCAGAAAAACCGCATTGCCGCTGTTAAATTGAGTGAAAAATGAATGTGTTAAATCTCGTTTTGCTTGGCGGCGGCGCGCGGCGGGCGCTCGCACAATGAAACATGAATCACTGCAGAATGAAACGAGCGTTTTTCCAAGCGCGCGAGGTTATTATTTATGGCCATTGTGCAATAACATCTTACTTTGTCACACCTCTTTTTTGGTCTCGGTGCCGCAGCGAGGCCCGCGCTGCGACAAAAAGCAGGGTCAAGAGGTCATCCCCAGGGAGGCGAATCGGCTCGCGGCGCATGAGCACCGAAATGGCGCCGCCCTTTGCATCCCTTTGAGCACCATTGGAGCACCGGCGAGGGTGCCGCCCCTTTTTATTGCCGTGCACGCGAGGCCAATGGAGGCGGCTTTGCCAGCCAGATCAACTTTTCAAGCTGTCAGCGGCGAAAATTTCTCTTTTACCCTGCCACTGCCGCCGGCGAATAGATTAAAGAAATAAAGTCACATTTTAAAACTCAATCTGTTTGAGTTTGTCTGCTTTTTGCGCCGCACGAACAAAAGGGTTGTAAATAACGCTGGCAATTTATTGCGTTCAAGCTGCTCGCCGTCGAGATATTATTTTTGTATGCAAACGCGACCAATTCGGCTGCTCTGCGCTTTTTTCCCTCTTGCATAAATGTGACATGTCACAAATTTCTCCGGCCTGTGCTGACGGGATTTATAGCAACGTGACAGCTCTGGATGTGAAACAAGGAGTGATTGCTTTGTTTCTGTGAGAAAAAAACAACACGAGTTTTTTCACCTTTCAAAATCGTATACATGCAAAATCTATGGTTTTCAAAAGATACTTTGTAATAAAAATTAATAAATGAGAAAACTTAGTTACTTATTCATTTATTAAAATCTAACTACAGCGAAATAATTTGATTGAAGTGGTGGCGCCGTTTCGTCCAAAAATTGAATATCAAAACTTAACTTTCTGTGAAAAATAAGCCAAGAGTAATAACTTAATTCATTATCAAATAAACTATTAAAAATTCAAATTTTCAGCTATTGTAAGCTTAAATTCCCTGATCGTGGTGTGAAGATTTTGATTAAATTTTTCTCAAAACAAGTTGGTGGATTTTGTCCTCAAGTCTTTTTCAGTCTTTTTAAACATACTTTTTGCTTAATTTATAAGAACGCATTTTTAAATTATTTTTTTCCAAATATTTCTCTTATGCAGTTTTTTGTCCTTACAGCATAAGGATAAATTTTAAAAGTTAAACAAATTCACAGCTCTAGAACTACATATAAGAATTTAAAGTCCTGTTTAACTTTTGAGCAAAACCTCTGCAAATTTGGAGTCTTTCCCGAGTTTCTAATTTTGAGATTCTTACCAAAAGACTTGAGTTTGCGGACAAAGCCAAGGGTTAGCTCAGCACAAGAGCTATATAAGTGTCCTTTCAAGAAATTCGCCATATATTTCAAGCACCATCTCATCATCGGGCTCTTTCATTTCCTTTTCTTAATAAAAAGCAAGAATGTCGCAACACACACAGCACCGCGCTGCGTTTAAACTCTCTTTGCATCTGCAGATGAAAACAGAATTTAATTTCAAAGTTGGAATGGAGTGCTCTTGATTACCACTCGCAGCAGTTAAAAATGGCAATTAAAAATTTAATATCGGCGTCTCTCTTCTTCCACAACAAGGTTGGAAGAGCCGCGCTCGAGCTTGTCTTTTTGCATCGATTGAGCTCTCCGAGAAGAAGAAGAGGCAGTAAAGCGCCTTTTCTCGTCGTCGACTGCAAGAAAGATGCAACAAGCCTGATAAAAATATAATAATTTTTAATTAACAACGCCTTTTGCACCCCCGACTGGCGGCTCAAGAGGAGCACTCGAAATGCTCATTCGGTCTCTCTCCCTTCGGCGTTTTGTTTCGGGGACAGCATTTTTATCGGGGTAATAAGGAGTGAGCCCGTTTGAATGCTAAAAAGGCTGATCAGATAAAACGACTCAACTATCTGCGTTCCCCTTCATGTCGCCGCCGCCGCCGACTACTTATTTATTGCAACACAATATTAGTCGCAACAACGCGTCGATTCCGGCGAGAGGGATTGTTTGATCGCGCGCGCAGCCAATGAGCAAGGAAATAAATTTCTCCGGCCGCGTAAAAAAGCATTATACATATTTATTCGTGCGACCAGCCGAGCTATAATAATATCGGTTTGTCCTTTTCAATGGACCAATAAAGAGAAATCTGATTGTATGCGCTCGCAAGTCGACGTGAATTATTATTTGGCTCTGGTGACTGCAAAGATAATGAGGGGAGATTTATAGATCTTTTGAATTCGGATAATTGTTTAGCAGCGCCAACATATTTGCATCAAGTTTTAACCTCAGCTCTCCAATCGCTAATCAGGGCAAAACTTTACCATGCTCTTTAAAAGGTGTTCAATTTTTTTTATATATATAGATGGAAAATATTTAAGGCTTTGAAAAAATGTAAAATTTACTATTATTTCTGCAAAAATTATAGCGAAATATAAGATCAACATATATTTGAATTGGTTTGTACAAAATTATTTATATTTTTTTTATACCATTTTTACAAAATTTTGTTTGTTTTAATAAAATTAGATTTGGTATCCTTCAAAGCCTAAATTAATCAAATTATCAACTTATAATTTCTTATTCAACTTTGAAGCCATATGTGAGGTCCATTTCTTTTTATTATGAAGCTTTCATGCGCACCGCGTGTGGACGGGAATTCATAAAATCCATTAAATCTGAATATACCCCGAGAAATTTTTTTATCATTTATGGCCGCGGTGAAAATCAATTGTGCCAGAATATTCGGGGCCATAAAATGCCAACTCGCTCGCCGGGTGAGCGGTTTATAAAAGTTCGGAAACACTCGTTGTTGCTAAAAGGCCATATAAACTTTTTAATAAGGACTGCACAAAGCGAAAAACAATCGGCATATTTCGAGTCAATAACAATTAAAGCAAAACGTCGTGCACCACTCAACGCGAGTCGATTTCCCAATGCAGCTTTAATGGAAATATTAAAAGGGCCCGTCGCGTTTACAACCCGGAGGTAAAACCGAGCGCCACACACGATACATTTAAAAGGTGTTACATGTTGTTATAAAAGCTATTAAGGCGACGATATTGCGTGCCTTCACTTTATTAGCATAATTTGATCACTAATGGATCATAATTTCTCAAAAACACTTACCGACTTGCGGTTTACACGCGGCCATTAACGACCAATGGCCAAAAGTACACATATTTTTGCATTTTTTTTCACCAAACTTCAAGAACGGCTTTTCGTTGCCGACCGACGAGCGTGGAAAGAGCATGCGAAAAAATAAGAAGAAGTTTCTGTACTCACGTCGAAAGCCGCGTCCTTCCTCCGGGGTTGATCGCTCGGAGCCGGGAGTCTCGGCGCGGCAATTGGCCGCCTCTTCGGTGCCACTCATGCTTTCGTCCTCTTGATGATTCAAAGGAGAGGTGCTGAGGTCAGGTGAACTGGCCTCGTGGCCGACCTCTAGGTTGTAAAGACTCTTGCTGCAACCTGCCCTGATGTCCGGCTAAAATTTACAAATTTTATTATTTTCATTTTATTTCACTAGAATGCTTTATTTTTTAATTATTCTTTGTCCAAAATATTTAGTTGTTTTTAATTTATAAATAAAATATTAGTTTAATAATAAAACTTTTTTCAAATGAAACATGTATTTAAAAAGATTCTTTATCAAATGCTTTTTCATAATTTTATAACAATCTTAAAATTGAATTTTTTTCCCAATCTAATGCGCATAATTAAATTTCAGTTTTAATCAAATTTAACTTTGATTGCCTTGTATGAAGAGCAAAGGATCCAGCAAACCCCAAATCCTGAAAGTGGGTAAACTGGTGGTATTTGCGAAACATGCTTGGCAACAAACCGCAAGATTCATTGCTTGCTCTAATAACACTCACCCCTGTTTTGAGACTTTTGGCCTGAGGAGGGGCGAAAGCTGATAGTGGTCGAAACGCGCCGTGCGTGCCAAAAGTCAATCGAGGGTCAAGTGCTGGGTGCAGAAACTGATGCGGCTGGAGATGCTGCAGCAAATGACCGGGGTAGCCAAATCGACCAGGCAAATGCAAATCCTTTGGAATCTGACACAGATTAAACAACTACGTCAACAATTGCCCGAGGGCAAGTAATAAATATCACAAAAGTATTCTTAATTAATTTCAAAATTGCACAAACTTAAAAAAAAAAAGAGTTTTGTCTTTAAATTAAAATAAAAATCAATTATAAAGCAAAATTATTCTTTATGTTCCTTTTCATTAAACAAAACTGAACTTTTTACAGAAGTATTTTTTTTTATGAGAAAATAAGCCACACTCAAGGCCGCAAGTGAATTTTTCATACCTGAGGATTGAAGGTCCTTTGCATAGTCAGCACATCGCTGAGGGTGTCTCCCCCTTGGGAGAAAACGACCAGAGACGGAGGAAGTTGAGGATTTGTTGCATAGGCAGCCGCCGCAGCGTTGTCCATCTGAAGCACAAAGTAAAGCAAAATCCAGTAATCAATACTCAAAGTAGATAGTTCACACTTTTTTTTTATAAAATTTCAAAATAAAATCACAAAAATAGGGTTCAAATTTCGCATTCCGATTTTTCTCTTTTGTAAAATTTTCATAAAAATTAGTTTATAACTTTTTCATAGATTTGGAAAAAAATGCATTGTAATATTAATATTATTTACCAAATTAATTAAATAATTACTGTCATTTGTGTGTTTAGCAAGAATTTTGATACAATTAATTTACGAAAAAAAATATCTGAATTTCAGAAAATTAATTCAAATAATTTCTGTCTATAAAATATTTCAAAATGCATATTTTAGAAGTATTTCAATTAAACTTCTCTTATGTACGGCTAAATTCTGCTTAATAAAAAAAAATACAGCAAAATAGTGATTTTTGGGTACATAAAAATACCAAATTTAAGGGTAAAAAAATTCATTAATAAATAAACTGAGAAATGATAACTTTAAATAGTATTCCTTTGAAACTCCAAAGAAAAAAATGAATGACAAAGAATTAAAAAAATCTGCAGAAAATTAATAAAAAAAATCGTTTATTTATCTTGAATAGTCTTACATTTTCAACTAATTGCTGAAATTTGTACTCGAGTTTTGAATAAAACCATAAAATCAAAATCAATCAAGAAATGAGTACGAAGCTTGTTCTACTTTAACGCTCTTGCAAAACTTAAAATGATGAATATTATATTTTAGCGTTAAAAAATAGCTGGGGAGCTTTTTTATGGTATTTGAGCAGAGACATCGGAGCCAGGCAGTGCTCAGCTCTCAGCGTCTCTAGATTCAGTTTCACAATTTCGCGTTGCACACAACAAGGAGAAGACAATAATCGCATCGTCTCCTGGCCAAGTCAGGTCTGTGTCGTTGGGTGCATAATTTTCTCGGGCATCTCAAGTGAAATGAACGAACTTTTTTCTGCTCGCTTTGCATGCTGCTGATTACCACGTGAAACACACCAAGAAAGAGGCTCTCGTATTTCTTGTCACAATTGGAGATTAAGCAGCAGAAAGATGATTCAATTAGCATGCAGCGAAATCTGATAGCCGCGCGTTGTGACATTATTAAATTTATATACCTGTGCGCGAGAGAAGACGCTACTTTATCATCGCAGCCAAGCACTCCTAAGTAAGTAAAATGCGCGCCTCGGGACAAATTATTATCATCGCAATTAGCAACTTGTGTCACTTTTTAAGAGGCAAATTTATGCATCACGACTAATTGCCAACTTAAATCGGTTTTAGCGAAAAATAAGATAATGCGCTTATAGAGAATAAACGTATAGTTTATAAATGCTTATATCAAATTTGCGATTTTCGCGTATAAAATAAGTTAAAATAAACGTACAGCATAAAACTTTGTAAATTATAAATAAACTTCACTTGTTTTAAAGATCTTGCTAGCTTTTAGCACATTACGCGTCTGTTAACCAAAATTTAAAATTTTCTTGAAATCGATGGTTTGATTTGTTCTGAGAAAAATAAATAAATAAAATCATTTCTCTGATAGAAACCAAACTTTTGATTTAAAATTCTAAAAAATTACGCAAGTAATCCTTTTTCTCATCCTTTCCAAAACTTACACTTGATGATAGGGAATAAGAAAACTGTAAAAAGGGCCAAAATTTTAACACTACTTTTTAGCCATATAATATCTTTCTTTAACTTGGTCGTTTTTATTACTTGGTATGACTGTTTTAGTGAAATTCCTTCTATGAATAGAGAATTTTTCTGTGAGCAAACACCTTCTGAATATTTTGATCCGAAAAATTCCGGTTTTCAAAAAGTTTTGGCGGAAAAAGTCTGACAAATTGCCGCATGTGAAGAAATATGGAATTTTTTCCTTAATGATCTTAATTTTATAAAAAAATCCTTACTTTGAAGGGAAATTAAATTTTTTAATCAAGTTAACACTGAAAATTTTCAAGATTATAATTTACATTATTATGTATTATTATTGTACATTCGGTTTTTCTTGCAGTTATTTTTAGGAACTTGTAAAAAAATTTAATTTATTTGCCAAAAAGAAAAATTTGAGCCTCATAATTTGATACTAAGAGATTTTTTATTTCTAATTTACGTTGAAAATATTTTGAGAAATAAAATTTTGTGACATTATCTTCAATATTGAATTAATTTTCTGCAGCATCAAGATAAATAACTTGATTTATAATCTTTATTAAAAATTTCAACTAAAACTGCAATATTATTCAAAATTTTAATATTTTTAACATCAATTTGGAAAATAAATATTAATGTCAATATTTTTAATATTTTTTATTAGATTTATTATCAAAAAAAAAAAATTAAAACATGGTACTGAATGAAAAACTAAATTTCTATTCCTCTTACTTTTCAATTGTTGCATTAAAAAATAGCAAAAATAAAAAATGAAATTAATTTCTGAAAAGTTGCCGGCACGCGGTTCCTTCGCGCGGAGTGGCGTTCGAATGCTGCCTTCAGCTGGCGAACATGGCGATCTCGAGCGACAACAAATCCACAAACACTTTCTTTACGGCTCGATAAATCATCAATCGCTTGACGAAATCCACCAAAAATTTCAAATCTGAGCCGCAGACTCGTGCAAAATTGATAACTATACTCATTTCTGACTATCAGCCGTAAATTTATTCAAATCCAAGCAAAAACTGAACACGCTCGGAGAGGCAAATTGTGGTTGTTTACGCCTAAGTATCTCTATAATAGAGGAGACTGAAAAATTTAAAATAAAATTATGGCAAAGGAATTAAAAATTTAAGCAACTTCGCCAAGGGAAATTTGGTTTTTCATTGAAAATCTAGAGATTTTAGCGGAAAACAAGGTTCACAAAGAGCGGCATCAAAAGTCGGAAAAAGCGGCGAAAAATCGACCTACCTTGAGGCTGTCTTTGGACCGAACTAGAAAATTATCAACAATATTCGTGCACTAGGTATTTATAAACGAATGTCACATAATTGTGGGACCACATGTGACCTGCAAACCCTTTATTTTGAGACTAAAATATGAGGATTGACTCACCTACTCCCTCATGTTGAACGCGCTTGTTGTTGTCCTCTGGTGGGAGGGGCGGGGCTAAAAAAGGAGGAGCTTCGAGTGGCGCGAAAATCCATCCGATCCGAAAATGCTGAATATCGGCCAAATATCACCAAGTTTTCAATTTCAATTAATTTAAAATTTGAATATTAATACCTCTTGTGTTCATAAATTACCATAAAATATTCACAGGTGTTTTTATTGTTTATAAAAGTCTGATAAGACTTTGGTTGTTTGAATAAGCAAATGTTTCCTGATCCAGACTACAGGGAGAGCTCCATAGACCGTTCGTCGTTGAATTCACACCATCTACAGACCACTGTTGAAAGCTTGCTTTTTGTTAGCTTGGATGAGCAGGAAGCGCCTGTGAAATCGTGAAGTAGGCAACTTGTGCAGTGCATGTGTCGAGCGGGTAGTCCAGAACTAATAAATTTAACAGAAACTAATGAGATTATTGTTTTTTTTTTTAATTTTTCATTCGTATACTTAGTTATAAATAATAATAAATAAATTGAATAATTAATAAAAAAGTTATTTTCACTTACTTACAAAAGTTGACAGAGCATCATAATCTGGTAATTAAATTCCAAAACATCAAACCTCATTTAAGAAATAAGGAACTTATAGAAATGATAAAAAAAATATACAACCTCAAATCCCAAAAATATTACTTCTCCCATTATCATCAGCAAATTAAAAGCACAGTTGGCTGCTAATAATTAAGAATATCGTGTTCAGGGCGACACGCACTCCTGAGCGCGACATGCGTGCGACAACTCGCAGCAATTAGTCTGTGCACCGCCAATTCCACCTCATCTCGCGCTCCTTTTGCGCATCCGTTCGTTTCCACCCAGTTCACTCTGAGCCAGCGCAGCAGTCATGATGCGGCTTCTTTTCCTGCTTTTCGGATTTCTCGTCGCCTTGACCAATTGCGAGTGGATCCAACTGCCGCAGGTCAACACTGCCAATGTCGACCTCAACCCTCAGCCCTCGAAGACCAGCAAATCGGACCAGACCCCATTCTCCAATTTGACAATCGACCCCTACTATATTTCAAGTCTGCAGACCTTGCACCAACAGCTTCGAGACTCGATCTGGTTGAAAAAGGAAGAGCCGAGAACCATGCAGGAAAAAATCACTTATTTGAACTTGCTCAAAAACAGGATGCTTCGGTTCATAGGTTTGGTTTGAGGCATTTAAAATTTAAAGGGTTTGCTTATATTTTTTAAACCTTTTAGCTGAAAAATTGGTCTCCTTGAATATTGAGGGCAAGAGGTCGAGTAGGAGAAGATTTGCTCGAGATCCAGGCTGGAGCCAATCAAGTGGCAACGATATTGGGTTCCCCTCTTTGGAAGTGGCCCTTTTAACCCTTTCATTTTTAGTGTTTGCAGTTTTCGTTGTAAACATGGTTCTTGTGCGTATTATAAAATCTCATAAAAAAATTAGTAATTAAAATATTTCCTGAATTCTAGGTCTTGTTTTCAAATATTTTTGGAACAACAACAACCACGGGAACCGGAACAACAGCCGGAGCATTGGGAAGACGCAGACGTAGTTTGGGCGGATCTGACAGTGAAGAGAAATTTGACGAAGCAGCTAGAATTTTGAAAGCTTTGGAAGAATTTCCATTTAAACGCGACAACTCTCTTAACCATCACTGTAGTGTTGATGACTTTGGTGGTTGCGGAGGTTCAGAAACACCTATTCCTCAAATTGCAAGGTAAATAATTCCTTTTTATCCATTACAATAATAATAATTTTTCTACAAATTTCAGGTTTTTACTGAAAATGAAACTGTGAAAAAATTGAATTTCGAATAGATGCCTAATTGTTATTTATTTGGTGCTGGTCAGGGGTTACAACGGACGTAAGACTTCACAATGAGTCTTTTGTAAAACTGAGACTTTTCGGAAATTTTTCTTTGTCTTTCGTGGTTTGTGATTTGAATAAATTATTTTAAATTAAGCTTGAATTATTAATACTATTATGATCTTTTTGAGTAAAAATGGAATTTTTTTTATAAAATTAAGAGAAAAAATTAGACTAAATAAAAACTTGCTCACTTGCTAGGAGATCAGTGAATGGCTTGACGATCTCTCTGGTGGAAAAGTAGAATATCAGTCCAAAAGTGATTGAAATGGGTAGAGCAGGCAAAGCTTTCTTGATTATTGCCAAAAGAAGCAGAGTCAGACACAGGCCGATCAGAATAGCGACGAAGCAAGCAAGAGTCATGTTCCAGTCTCCATATGAAGATACTTTGCCTACAAGGACGCTGTAGAAAATGAAGTCGCCAAGGCCCAATTTGATTCCACCTAGAAAAAAATAACAAAATTGCACAATTTCTTTAATATTTCAAATTTAAATATTTACGTTCTTCGTCGTCAACTTCCATAAAAGGTCCATGCTGTTGAGGGGCTTGTTCACTTGAGGCGGTGTAGTTCCCTGGTTGGCCTGCGACAACTCTTGGGTTGGTCGATTGATTGACCTGATTCACCCACTCTTCAGTAAAACCAGCATTGCTGTCACCTAGAATTAATAAAATTGAGCCAAAGTTAGGAATCAAGATGAAATTTTTACCAGGAGAACCTCTCCTCCCTTGACGGACTCCTCTGGGTGGAAGTTGGGGTCTTGTTTCTTCAGTTGCTGGCTCGGCTCGGTCCGCCATGCCAACAACCGTGTAAGCAACGGCAGCTGAAGTTAATAATAAATTATTTTGTACAATTTCATTAAAATTTCACATACATGAATAGATCAAGGCAGGAAAGATTTGCTCGTTTCGCTCTTGGGCTGTTTCGACGAGGATTCGCAACGGTCCTTTCGGGGTCAGCACAGCAACCAAATCTAAATATTTGGACAAATTAAATGAAGAAAAAAAAATTAAGTTCATGATAAATACCCCAGATAGAGATGACCGCCAAAACAACCCAGGACGTCCAGTCTGGGAGATATTTGATGAACACAAGGGCCATCAGGGCTGCAATGAAAATGAGATACGCCTGCTGGAGACGAAGGGGCCCCTTCCAGTGGATGCAGATCATTCCAACCACCCCAACGTTCCACATGATTGCAGCAAGAGTGAAATAGTCCATCGGGACATTGTACGCTCTCAGTACCTCCCTGTTACAACATAATTATTTAAATCAAGGACAATAAAGATTAAATGACTCACTCTAAATAGAGATACGCAAACACGAACAAGAGCATCAATGAAGACAAAATGAGCCATCCATGAATGACCTTAAATACAAAATTAATAAGTTTGATGTTATTCGTAGAAAGTTTTTACTTTGTAGAATCGGTATTTGTAGAGGAGGATCAGTATGAAGGTCATGATCACAATCACTATTAGCAAAATACCAGCATTGGCGAGGGCATTCCAAATTTTGGTGCCCGGATCGCTGCTTTCCTCATGGAATGGAGTGTAAACTCTGTGAATAAAAATGAAATGTTTCTCTCTATAAAAATATAATTTTTTAAATGGGCTTACAAGTAGACGTCTTTAGTGGTGTAGAAGGAGATTGAGCTGATGGTGGCCACCACCACCAACATGCACAGGGACACTGGCACGAAAAGTTTGATGACATGCTTTGCTCCGTACTTCAACTCTTCCTCCTCGTCCATGTACATATCAGGGCCGTGGGGACCTGCGCCATCGTCCAGTCGCGCTCTGTCATCGTACTGACCTGGACTCTGGAACATTTAATTTTTAATTTACGTGATTGATTATTTGTGATATTTTTTTCCCTACTCGAGAGGAGGTTGGTGGTGTGGGATCGTCAGCGGCATTGCCTGCTCCCTCGACGCTAGCAGGGGCTCTTTGGCGTTTGTTGGCCCTTTGCCTTGGCGGCCGGTCAGTGCCGTAGGTGGTCGCCTCGGGCACCAAAGCTTCCATCAGCGATGTGTGTTCTGAGCTGGATTGATTAGCAGACATACGAGAGATAAGAAAGGGGCTAGTGTTAGAAGCGATTTAAAGGCAGGTACATCACACTGCTCGTCACACAGATTTCAAGAAAGGTGGGAGAGCTGCAAAAAACCAAAGATAAGACCAAACTAAAATGAAGTCAAAACTTATGTATGACACAACAACATAATAAATAACTTTAAAATGTTCCTCCTCGAAGGACAAATATGTATGTAAATCAAATAATTATTTGATGATAAAACTGTTTCTTATCAGTGCAGATATTTCAGAAAGTCGATGCAAAATATTAAGGGAATAATTATCATAATTAACTAAATTAAAAATCGAAGAATAAAACGTCACAAAATACCGTGGGCGTTTTATACTTAGAAATTATTATTCCGGCATAAAATAAAATACGTGATCAAAAGTATATCTATGAATATGATGCTGATGCTACAAGGAGAGATTTTAATTCAATCTACAAGAATACTGATAATACTTGGGGCTTTGACTCGCAAATTCCGACAAAAAATAAACAAAACTCACCTTTGGCACAGACAAGTGGGCGACTCAACGGGGGCGTGGCCTCTTGGAAAGCAAACACGTAAATATTTGCGGGCGGCCGCACCAGATGGCAATAATTATAGCGGAAGCGAGCGCCGAGCGAAAGGGTTCCACTCTCACGATCACGACTCCTCCCACCTACATCTTGGGAGAAAATGCAAAACAGGACGATCCATGACGTTGCAGGTGGAATCAACAGTGCAGCGCTTTTAATTAATTAGCGTCGAGTGTTGTTGTCATACCTTTCCGGACACGCGAGAACAAGCACCGACCGGCCAGAGACGGCGACAGGAAGCACCAGAAAAGGGTCTGGAGCCGAGAAAGAGCTCCAAGGAGCGGCGCCCTAGTTGTGTTTACATACATTCCACTCGTCGAACGCCTTCGACAGGTGACACCCTGCGCCTTATCATGGCCTGATTCTTCCTCGGATGATGCCGAACGCACGATGTCGAGCCGCAAGTGGACTGCCTGAGGCCGCTGGTCCACAGCGATGCTCAAACCAGGACCATGAACATCGATGCTGCGGACGGTCTGGTATGATTGAGGCCTTGAATTATATTTTGTGTTCGCCCACTGAAGGTGTTTTTTTACAGCCAACTTGGAGACTGTGGGGTGAGGAGCGAACCCCGGGGGCTATTTTCACTGTCTACCTGAAGAAGGTTCGGTACCACAGGCCAAACAAAAGTGTCTCGGTCAGTAATATAACTGAGCGTTCTCTTCTTAGAAAGTAATGTCACTTTTCAGGAGCAGGAAGACAACATATCCCATTTAGAATGGGAGACCGTCAGGGTACGATTAGTCAAAGCTGCCACTTTGAACAAATTGGTCGAGTGCCTGGCCAGCGACGAAGGCGAACTCGAGACCACCTACGTCAACATTTTCCTTGCTACCTATAGGTCATTCAGCACAGCCTCACAGGTTCTAGGACTTTTAATAGATAGGTAAATCACTCAGTCTTATGGTTTTGCTGAAATTATTCTAAAAATTATGCTTACAGGTATAAGTTGCTTGCGAGTGACAGCGATGAAGTGGAATTACCAGACTGCATCAGACAATTGCACATGAAGTAAAATTTGGCCTTAATTATTCCAAAATTGTTACAATTTTACTTCGAACAGAACGCTGATCCTCTCGCTCCATGTGTGGCTTGACACGTACCCTGAAGACTTTGTTGATCCTCCGAAGTTTCCAGCCTTGCAAAGGCTAGACGAGTTCTGCAAGGAAAATGTTCCTGAATCTGAATTAGCTGTTAGAGTTAACCACCGCCTTGAGCGGCTCTTGCAAGGTCAACTTTCTTTTTTCCTTTTGAAGTATTTTTACCTGAACCTTATTTTCTAAATTCCAGAAGTGGGTGAAAGTTCGGCAAGAGTGCCCACAGCGGTCCTGCACAATAATGGTGACGTTCACGAAATTGTCGATTCCACCAAAGTGACTGACCTCTCCGAGTACAAATTCCCCCACATAAATGAAGTCCTTTTTGCCGAACAACTCACCTGCATGGATATGGTACTGTAGAATTTTGATTTTAATCATAATTATCAATAAAAGAAAATCAGGACCTGTTTACAAGACTCGTACCGCACCAGTGTCTTGGATCAGTGTGGGCCAGACGAGGAGAAAAGCCTGGTGCCATTGGAGGGTTAGCTGGAGGAGCGGCTGGTTCGGTTTTGGCCACCGTCAACCAATTCAATGCAGTGTCTTTACGGGTCATCAGCACTATTTTGGTGCAAGCGATTCCAGACAGGGTTGCTATCATCACAACATGGATTAAAATTGCTCAGGTGAAAATAAAAATATTTTTATTGAAAAAATTCCAAAGTAAAAACTTTCAAATTTGACAGGAATTAAGAGTGCTTAAAAACTTCTCATCTCTGAAGGCCATCGTGTCTGGCCTTCAATCAAATCCTATTCACCGTCTGAAACGAACGTGGGCCGGTTTGGACAAAGACACTTACCAGCTTTTCTCGGAGCTGGCAAGAATTTTTAGTGAAGAAAATAATCAGTTTGCTCAGAGAGAGCTACTTATGAGGGAGGGAACTGCGAAGTTCGCAAACACAGTGGGCACCAACGACAGGCAGTTGCAAAAAGCCATACAACGACAACTGAATCAAAGTGGAGTAAGAGCTTGGAATAATCATTGAACTAGAATATTTTAATTAACCTTTAAACATTCACAGACCATTAGCCACGGCACCATTCCATACTTGGGAACATTTCTGACTGACTTGACGATGATCGACACCGCAATACCTGACTTTGTGGGGGAACAAAAGCTCATCAATTTTGACAAGCGTCGCAGAGAATTTGAAATTCTTGCCCAGGTATTTACTAAATATTAAAAAAAGTGCTCATTATTTTTACTACTATTTTTTAGATCAAGCTGCTGCAAAGCGCTGCCAATGGATACTCATTCAAGTTGGATCTGAAATTTGAAGAATGGTTCAACTCAATACCAGTGTTAGATGATAAAGAGGCTTATGATCTGTCATGTCAGCTTGAACAAGCAGCACCCAGCAATACTCTTGGCAGTGCGGATTCTGCAAAGTCAAAAAAGAGGTCAGTTTGTTGTTAAAATTGTTTATAATAAGGCAATGAATAAATATTTCAGTTTATTTGGAATTAATATTTCCAAACTCATTCCCAACATCTCTCTTTTGTAAGGAAAATTAATAAATTTTAATTTTTTATCAGTTTTTTTTTTAAATTTTATTGAGATTTATTATTTTCAGGCAAGGCCACAAAAAGAATGACTCTGTAGCAAGCACAAATTCTGGAAGCAGCTCCAGTAGTTTTTATCTCAACACGAGTCACGAAACGTCGTGGCGATCATCGCGAGGGGTAACTTACTTTTCTGAATTAATTGCATCATTTCGGTTAAACAATTTTTGAAATTACAGCTTTCGCCTTCACCATTATCGTCAAAGTCGAGTTCAACTTCGTCATTAGTTTCACTAGACGCTTCTTTGGGGAGCACAGCCACGAGCGGCAGCAATGCCAAGCATCAGCAGTCGTTGGACAGCTCAAGCACCACCATGGAACCAGAGTTTTATGTGATTAAAGTGACCACAGACTGTCAGGGCCATGCCAAAGAGGGTCAGGTGATGTACAAGAGCATCATGCTGAGCAACAACGACAGGACGCATCAGGTGGTGCGGCAGGCCATGCTCAAGTTGGGCCTTGAAGGCCGGCCCGATGATTACTCTTTTGCACAAATCCTGCCACAAAAAGGTTTGCCATTTTTCAATAATTCGAAAAAGAAAAATTTATTTGTTATTAATGAAATTTTCTCAATTTCAGAATTGTTTCTCCCGCATGACGCAAATGTGTACTACGCTGTAAACACAGCCCATGACCTTAACTTCATTGTGAGACGTGCTAAGAAATTGTAACAGGGAAAGAGGTGATCGAATGTCTGGGGTTTCATTATCACAATTGTCAAAGGACTGTATGCATGTTAACCAAGTGCAATAAGAACAAATTATTTATGTATGAATTATCCACGCCTAGAGTGCAATTATTAAATAACGTTGATATTTCTGCGTGATGTTCTTCTACTTATATCGCTATTGTAATCGTCAGTATTCGTGCTAAAAATTCATGAGCTAGTGCATGTAACCCTTTTGTAACGTAACAATATAACTTGTGTGATAGGCTGAGACACAAACGAACAGTGGGCTGAGTACTGTTGCGCTATTTTGTTATCCTTTTGTATCATACTCATGTTGACCACTCAAATAAATTTTATTAATTCAAGCTTTTGACTATGCTATTTATATTTTTTTTAATTACGATTCCTTCCCAGGTTATGTATAAACAAATAATAGTAAAAGAAATAATCATAATATACAAACAAATAAAATTTTAAGAAATAAATTACTTAATTTCTTTTTTGCTAGTTAAAATTCACAAAATTTTCAGCTGAAGATTTTAAATTCCCCCTCTCTTTTGCTGTTGATATATTAAATTGGTTAATCGATCTCATCACTTATCAGATCATTGCAAAATTGAAGTGATGCAAATTACATATTTGCGCATTGTGACGGGGCGGCCTGCAACATCCCGCCTCTCCCTGCTCCAAACCTCCGGAATCGTCCAATGAGCGACGAGCTTCTCAATGTCAACACACGGGCTACGACCTTTAGCAACAGAGTCGAACTCGAACGTTTATTTTTCACGCGTGACAATCACACCACATGATTGACTGAGATTGTAGGGTCAGGCGATCACTTGCTGACCTCGATAGGCGTTGAAATGTTGGGCAATCCGTCGGCACTGCTGCTGCTTTTCGGCCTTTTCTGCCAGCTATGTCTCGCCTACAAACCCGTCGTCCTCATCCACGGCATCTTGGCCGAAAAGGGTTGCATGGATGTAGTCGGCAAAAGGATTAAAGAGGTATAAATTTTGGCTACTCAATGTTCTGTTATGTAATTCAATTTGAAACGCACAAAAATTATATTATTATACACAATAATCCATCCTCCGATCAGACGCAGTTTTTTAGTTTTTTCAATTTTCTCATATACTGCTATGTTATTTGAATTTACTGAATTTAATCAAAATTCCAGGTTCATCCTGGTACAATTGTGTACGCCACAGACAGATTCATTGGCTGGTCCAGTTTGGCTCCAATGTGGCACCAAGTGGATGCTCTTGCTGCTGACTTGATGAACATCACCAAAGCTCATCCTGAAGGAATTCATTTAATAGGTGAGATCCTAATTTTGAGATTTAAAATAATATTTAATTTCTTATTTTATTTCATGTAATTAAAATTAATTGTTAAAAGAAAAATAATAATTTTAACTAATATCAAGTGGCAGAAGTGAAAGCTATAAAATGATGTATTGTTGCAAAATAAACAGAGAAAATAACTTGCTTATTTGTAATAATTTATTGCAGGCTACTCTCAAGGCGGACTCGTTAGCAGAGCGATACTGGAAAAATACCCAGACCATAATGTGCAAACTTTTATCTCTTTGAGCTCTCCGCAGGCCGGTCAATATGGAAGTAAAGCTATTTTATTTTTACAGAATATTTTGACTTGATTTTAATTTTGTCTCTTTAAATAGCAAAATTTTTGCATCTCTATTTCCCGAACCTGTGGCTTAAAACGGCGTACGAAATATTCTACTCAGACGTCGGCCAGTACACCTCAGTTGCTAACTACTGGAACGACCCTCACCACCAGAAACTGTACTATGATTACAGGTGATTAAAATTTCTTATATTTTACAGAGATTCCCTAACATTTTAATTTTTAGTGTATTTCTTCCTTTTACCAACAACGAGAAATCGTCAAACCAAAGTGACGTTTACAGACAGGGTTTCCAGAAAATTAAAAAGCTCGTTTTGATCGGAGGTCCTGACGATGAGGTGATTACACCCTGGCAATCTAGGTATAAATTTAAATCTTACTTTTTATTTATTAACTGAAGTCTAAAAATTAAGTCACTTTGGGTATTATAATGAAAACGAGACAGTAGTCGACATGAAGGATCAAGATTTCTACCAGAAAGACATGTTTGGTCTGAAGACTATTGACACCAGTGGACGCCTCCACGTGATCACTCAGCCAGGAATTGACCACTTCAGCTGGCATGTGAACCTGACCGTGATTGACACCCACATCATCCCGTTCCTTGACTAGGTGCAGTGCAAAGTTAGTGTCCGTTGAGTACCCTAGTAGTGTAGAAGAGGCATGCTTATTGACGAGGTCATTTAACCTGAGAAATATTTCTTTACATCTCATTCAGTTCCAGTCATTTGTTGCACAAGAAGTATCAACTTATTATTATTTGTGATATTTCGTAGACATGGATATTGTGAAATATAAACCATGACATGCAAGATTAAATAATGCTCAAAGTTCATTATTTTATGGACTGAAGTGCTGCTTGATACAATCAAACGTTTTATATTAATCTTTTATTAATAAAATTCAACATGGAGTAAAGTATTAAAAATTAAAAAGAAAAAAATTAACTCACAAATTTTTGTCTTAGTAATATTCAAAACAATATCCTGAATCCAATTTTGATGTAGTTATTAACTCTTGTATATACACTTTTGTTTCTTAAAAAAACTTGCCAAGAGAACTCCCACCACGACTGTCCTTACAATTTGCAGAGGTTAAATTGTTACCATAGACAAGATAAATTAAATTATGGATTTTAATTTAAAAAAATTTTGTTATCTGAAACTTAGCCCCCCCCCCCCCCCCCACCAGTGGCAATGAACTTTTTAGTCCTCTACTATACAGGCTCAGACAGTTCTTTGACCCGATGTGAACAGGCAGGTCGAATGAAAGTGTCAAATTTGATATCTCTTGCTAATCGCTGAAAAGCAATGTTATTGTTGCATCAAGCGGTACTTGGGTCGAGGGATGCGGTTAGCGACCGGAATCGTTTGCGGCTCCATATCGAGATCTTGTGAAATTTCCAAAACTCCCAGCCTTAACCGACCTCCTGAAATTTCTCAAAATTTTCATGCGCCACAGTAATTTCACGTTGGCTGTTGTTATCATTAAAAACTTTGCAACGGGCACGTTTATCAGGAAAAGAAAAAAATTGCCTTCCCCTCGACGAAGCAAATTAAAAATTTGAATTTTTACACACGCTTGTAATACAGTGTTTCGCTGTCAAAACTAATCTTTTGCTTATAAGGGAGCCTCCGCCGAGTCTAGAGGATCATAGTCTGTCATGAGAACCCTAGCAACGCCGAAGATAAAAAATTGTAAATCACACAAAATGAAAAAAAAATACGAAAACATTTCTGAGCTCCACGTTGGCACTGATTTTAAAATTAATTAGCATTTCCGCATGCCCAAAAACTTTTTTTAATTATTTGCACCCTGAACTGTGAAAGTTTTGCATTTCCTTTAATTTCAATTATTAAATTATATTTACAAATAAATGAAATGTTTTTTGTGCATTTTTTCACAAAAATATCACACAAATTGACCTGCCAGCAACAATCAGACCTTTTAATAATTAGCAATTTTTTTTTAATAGTTACCTATACTTTGTGGTATTAATTAAATTTAAATAAAATTAATTATAAGAGAATAAAAAAATTCATGTTCAAAATTTAATATTTTTTAATCTGCCCATCAAAAACTGCATCTGCCATCGGCCAGTTTTCCAACGTCAATTCTGAGCTAAGATCATGCTTTTTTGTAAAATAAAATTTTTATATTTTTATTTTTTACTAACTGAAATGCACTACAACCTAGAATTATTGCACTTCAATTTTAGAGACCACAAAAATTAAGTGCAACTATAATTTGGCAACTTTTTTCCTAATTTTTCCACACAATGTCCTCTATCCACTTTACGTAGTTTGAAACTCTTGTGTACACTCCCGGGCTGTTGCTGTAGCCACAAAACTTTCCAAAAGAAGTAACTCCGACCACACTGTACATGCAGTAAGGGTCTTTCCTCACAAACTGCAGAGGTCCACCCGAGTCGCCCTAAATAAAAATTAATTAAATCACAAAAATGAGACCATTTTCATTATCATTTTAATTTTACTTGGCAAGTGTCTTTTCCTCCCTGCAACTCTCCAGCACAAATCATGGAACTGTCGTCGATGCCTCGTCTCAACTTGCTGGTGGTGGCTTCATTCTTGTATGTTTGGTTGCAAACTGGATGCTCTATCGGGGTTAAGGAAACCTTCAGTAGTCTGTCACTTGTGTCTTCAGCTAAAATTTCAGTCGTTTAGTTCAAGTTATTCTTTTATAAAATTAAAAATGTAGCACTCACTGTATCCAACGCGACCCCATCCTGTGGCAACGAATTGTCTCTGCTCACCAGGCCCAGGGAGTTCTTTGACCCGGTGCAAACAGGCCGGTCGAACGAACGCGTTGAATTCAACGTCTCGGGCTAATCGCAGCAAAGCAATGTCATTGTACCGAGCCGGCGGTCGGTACTCAGGGTGCGGAATGCGATCGGCGACCAGAACCATTTGCGGTCGGGCTCCGTCGAAATCATTTGAAATTTCTAAATCGCCCAACCTGACAACCTTAACGGCCCCCCTGAAATTACCAGAAACGTGCTCAGTCACGGCGTGCTATTTTATTTTTATCATAAAATTCGTTCTTATCAAAAAATATACTTTCAGGTCAAGAAAATTCAGAAATTAAAATATTCACTGACGCGTCTCTGCTGGAAATGCAGTGTGCCGCTGTCAAAACGAATCGCTCGCTAATAAGGGAGCCTCCGCAGTACCAGTTCGGGTCCGTTTCTGACCCATATCCTAACAGAGCCTGAAATTGAATTTTAAAAATTATCATTTTCGCAGAATTTATCAAAATTAACCATGTGCGGAAATTCCTTGGGGCTCGCAGGCTCTCCGCCAACCACCAGAATGGTTCCAACAGCAGCGCAGGTGGACTTATTAATATATTGAACGTCGTCGTCGATTTGCAGAGTCGGCGGCGCCTCAAGAACAAAAACTGATTTGGCATATTCTCTGCACTCTGAAATTATAAAAACGGTTAAATTTAAACTCGCTTATTTTCAATATCTTACAACGAAACTGCAAATAAATAAATATTTTAAATTATTTTCTCCACCTACTTTGTTCACTCCTCGTATTCAGTGCGGTTGGGGGCAGTGCAAAGGGCTTTAATGTACTCGTTGCAACTGCTGGTCTCGGAGTTGTTTTCCGCGTGGCTGGTCTCGTACCTGAGGACCCTGCTGGCTGCTGTTGTGGCAGCATGGCCTGTTGCTGACCAGGGCAGCAAATAATCGGATGATTTAATTGGAAACTGCATAATCGCGGTCGCCGACCCACGCGGAGATCTTGCAATGCCTGCTCGCAATTCTGCAAAGGTGTGCACGTTCCAGACACTCCAAAATACGTTGAGCACTGATCTCCTGAAAAAGCAATTTTATTTAGTTCTAATTTTTAACTGAAAGTAATTTTTTTATTAACACCGGTCAGTTTTAAGTCTCCTATTTTTCTTTTTAGTAAGAACAATTAAAGTTTTTGTTTTTTACAAATAATCAACAATTTAACTGATTATTATTTTAAATTTTCCATTATCATAATGCTGGTATGCCTTTATTGTAGCACAACAAATTAATTCGCCACCTCTTAATGTTTGCTCAAATTCTGTTAAACAAGGAAAGTGAGCAGCTAAACATTAATTGTATTTTGCTGATCGCAAAAAGCGTCCGTTATAATTTTTTATTTGGAAATCCCCACAACATATTTGATTTCCTTTTCCTCTATCTCTTCATCTTGCCGTTTCAAAGATGAATAAAAATATTGTTTCAATAATTTTAGTTTTTGTTAACTATGAGTTTTGAAAAATTAATTCACTTATATCAATAATCAATTTTAAATCATAATCAAATGTTTGCTATTGCGATTGCATTATTTGAAATTGATGCACGAAGAAGTCACGACTGGTTTGTGCGAATGAACGCCGCTCCGTGTTTTTCTCACGCCTTGATTGTAGGTTAAGCACGCTGGCGTGACCTCAACAAATAGCCGCAGCTTTTGATAATTTTGTTTTCAAAACACCAGCAGCAAAATGCAATTTTTATTCTAGTTAAAAAGAGAAGTCGAAAAAATAAAGAAATTGTATTGTCATAGCGGCCTGACTGATAAATAATAATTACCGTTGTAAAACTGCGCCCAGGAGAGCGAGATTTGCGCGAGCACCAGGGCCACAGCCGAAATCACAACTTTCGCGAGCACCATCGCCGGCGCGTCTGCTGCTACGCTCGCCTCAAGACTAATTGAACTTTTAAGGATGAGAACCGCAAGAGTGTTTCCTACGGAGGGACTTGAAAGTTACGTCACTGGCCTTGGAGAGCACGTCTGTTCTACACAAAAAGTCAGGCATTACTCATTCGATGCTGCGATGCACGTAACACGCAAGCCGGGGCGTCAAATTAATTGCAAATTGACCGTGTCGCGGAGCAGCAGAGTGCTGCGATTTTACCAACAGGGAATTACTCTACTAGACTCGTGTTTGAAGTCATGTTGCTCTAGAGTGATCAAATGCGTCAACTAGAAAATGAAAACATTTCACATTAAATAAATTTTATTCATTTTTATTTTTATAATTAAATAATTATAAGATTAACTAAATATTAATAATTTATTATTAATTTTTTTTTATTAAATTGCAATAAATTTGGTCGACTTTCTAAATGAAAAGATTGCCTATCAAACTACTAATTGCGAGAGCGAGCGGGCCAAAGGAGAGTGACAGAGGTTCTCAACCTGTTGGACACAAAAGCGGTTTGCTGTTTACAACTATAAGCGGACACGCATTAAGCTTAAGTGCAGGCTAATGTGGATTGCGCTCTTCTGAGAAATAACCTGGTGTTTCTTGGATCAAGTTGTTAAATTAAGAACTGCCGCCTCGGCCCGAAGCTGAATCACGCGCCTTTTAATTTGTGATATCGCATCTGCGCCATTTAAAAAAGAAGGGGAGTTTCTACGTCTCAAATTGCTCATATAAACAAATCTTCAAAAGTAAAAAGAAAAAATTTTCATTCAATTTAATTTTACTTACTTCCTGCTTTTTTAAATTTGTTGATATGCTAATTTTCAATACAAATATTAATTGTGTTGGTGTAATTTTTTATTAACGATATCATATACTCTGACAAAACTTTTTTATAAAATCTTTATAATATTTAAATTTTAAATAGATTTCCAATTTAAAATTTCTGTATTGACCGAGAAGAATAAATAATAATAATAAAATTTATTGAAAGCAATAAGTAAACATTCATTAAAATAATTACATCTTTTTATGATTGATGTATAAAAAGCTATATTTTTCACTGATATACTAAAAAGCGAACAGGTTATTGAAAATTATGAGTCAAGAAAAAGCACGTATCCTTCCAGAATTATTTCTCTTTTCAATTAATCTCAATTTTCAGCGCAAAGCTCTCAATTTCAGTCAGGTATAAAATATTTTATATATTTGCTTTAGTAAATTGCCTTATTCCTATTTTGACTGCGCTTCCTGCCTCGCTTGCCGCGGCGCCCATGTCCCATTTAATCCAGCCCGCAGCGTGCGGCTAATCGAAACGAGAAAAATGCTCCTCAGGGCAAGAGGCCATCAGGGTAAATTGACCTGCCGTGGACTATGCACTTGGTAAATAATAACGGAGCAGGTAGAGGGAGCGGAGGAAGCGGGGTGGCGCGCGGAGAGCGAGATTTGAGCGAGATTGTCGCACTCACTCATGTTGTAGGAATCATTTTATGTGAATGTTGGCGCAGAGTCAAGAAGAGTTGGGGCTAAATTTAGAGCCGGTGCCGTGTCTAGCTGTGTCGGAGCTCTTTTGCCCACCGACTTCTCATATTTGCATGTTATCCGAGTGAATTTCGGCGCACCCTGGCATGCGGATCGAGTGCACCGGCCGCCGCACTTGAACGCCCTCACGCACCATGTTCAACGTGAGTACCCCCTCAAGAGGTGTATTAACAATTTGGCCCGAAACTAACTATTTGACCTTTGCCAGTGGAGCAGCGCGATAACTCCCTTTTTTTGCTAATTACTCGGCTCTGCACCACTGCTTTTGCGCTAATCGCGTGAGAGGGCCAAGGAGTGAAGCTGCCCGCCGAGAGACAAAAGTGTGCGTTCTGGGGGAGTTGTGGCCGGCAATTGGGGCGGATTGGGTGTGTGATTGAAGAAGAGAAAAAGCGAAACAGAAAAGAACTAACAAAACGCGCGTGTGTATTTTTAGCGGCACATTTTGCTTGTCGGTGTCTGTGTGTGTTGGTGGCGAGAATTTTATTTTTTAGTGATCGGCACACGATCGGCTCACCAATAACACATTCCGCTCGCCGCTCCCGTGAATCGACCAAATTTTGGCCCGTTTTTTTGGTATTCGGCACGTTTCATGTGGAACGGCTTTTTTGTAAGTAATCGAATTTGCGGCTCATTTTGAACGCATGGTCTCTCTTTTTCGCACTTGGACACTCATAATAAGCTGCTTAAAAATAGTCTCTCATTCATCTATCTCCGTTTGCTTTTTCGCCACAGACACAATCAAAATATTTTAAAAATGTCACGTCCGAAAATAGAAACTCACACGTCGCCGACTTTACATAAGAGCAGCGGGTCGCGAGTAAAAAATAGCGTCGCGGGAGAGACTTTTTTATAAGCCCGAGTTTGTTGAGTGAAATGTGAAAATTGTTAAAAGCCGCGCAGATTAAGCGATTTCAGATTTTGAGCAAGCTGAGGCGCACTTATTAATTAGGCTGCCAAGTGCTATAATTATCAGCACGCGGCGCACACTGCACCCCGCTGTTTTTTTACCGGCAGGAAAGACCCCGCAGGTTTATTTCTGATATATAAGTCGGATTCACAAAAATTGGCCGGTGGTAGGGTTAGAGATGAATCCGTGCCTGGAGTCTTTAAATACATCTGGATTTATCGTTTGAATAAATCTCTACAAAAAAGCAGAGTTTTTAAACTTCATTAACGCACTTTAATTTATTTTAAAACAACATATACAAAATTACGTTCACTGACCCTGTAATGTACACTGATTTATATAAATATTGAAGAAACAGTTTAAAAAGTTCATTTATTTTTAATCTTGGATGACTTATTTTATGGGAACACATGCCTTTTTACGTCAATTAATAACTCGTCGACAGATACGTAGCCTCATCGCCCGTTTAAACTTTAATGAGCACCTCTTGAATGGGCCCGTCTTTCTTTATTGTTAGTCCTCTTGAGCGTCGTTCAGTAGCGTCTCAGTGGCTTCTTAAGAAACGCGGCCCGCACGGATACGCGGAGATTAATTTGCTGCGAAATGACCACAATGTATTGCTACTGGCACTCAATCCATTGCCTGATGTTGCAGTCCCGAGTCGGCGCCCACCTGTCCATGCGCCCATTGCCACCTCCACCGGAACCTGAGTATGAGGTGATTGACTACAGAAAAATGGGCAACACGAATTCGGCGACTACAACCAGATCACTCCTTGGATTAGCAGGTTCGAAAAGTTTATTCAATTATTTTTACTTCCTCTTTTTTAAATATTAAAAATTTAAATTTTTACTTTCTCATTAACATAATTATGCAAGTTTTATTATTCTACCACTTTTTAAATTAAAAAAAGTAAAATAAAATATTTTTATTTTTATTTTTTAGGCAATGAAATCCGAAGAAAGGGTGATGGTAAGCACTGCGACCTTTGCGGTAGCACGGAACCGGCGGTCAGGTGCGAGGACTGCAACAAGCAGATATTTTGTTTGTCCTGCGATGATATGTATCACAGACATCCCAAGAGACAAGCTCACATTCGAAAGGTGCCTTAAAAATTTCTAGATTTTAGGAAATCCAGACTCTAGACCTAATTTGTATTAATATTATACTTGAAGACTTTGGATGACCGATTCCAAACTTTTCGACCTCCACTTCCGCCAAAAGGTGGTTTGATGCCAGCTCCTGTCCCTCCTCCTCGCAGAAACAAAAAGGACATGAGGTCATCGACCCCCAGCCCTGAAATTCCGAGGATGATCCAGGAGATCAACCAAATGACCCAGGTATGATTCTCAAGCCCGAAATTATTTCTTTCTTTTTTTACGCCAGCTCTCACTCACACAGGTGAAGAGGTCAAATTGCATTATTTTCTTCTTCTTTCAAAATTGGGCTTTTTGTAGAGCTCGTATTTTAGCATGATATATGATTTATACACTTGAATTATGTGTGGTGTTGAAAGTGGCACATATAATTTGACAAGTTAATATGGTGATGGATTAGGGTCGGGGTTACGGGGCTGACCAGGTCAAACCGGCGCTGCCCAGGAAAGAGTTTTCCTTGGCGGAGAAGATGAATAGCCTCAGACGATTTATGAGTGGCAGGCCGAGGCCTAATCCTCAGATGCACATGGAGCAAAGCGCTCGGGTCCAGTTTGACGCTCAAGGCAATAAATTTATCCGTTTTAAAATAAATATTTAATATCATTGCAAAGCAGGTATTCCAGTTCCTGTAGACGATTACATGAATCAAATAAACGGCATGAACAACGGAAAGGAAAATATTTCTGGCATGATGAGACCGCCGGGCCCTGAAGTCTCTTTAAAACAGAATTTTCCTGGCAATGTTTTCGGTCCATCTCAGCAACAGCAACAGATGCAACCACCTCAGAGGGCACACAGGGCAGGGTTGAGCCATTCAGTCAGCGTCGCAAACCTGCCCAAAGACAACAATAGAAACTCGGTTTTAAATTAAATTAAAAATTTAAGCAATCCATTATTGAAATTGTTGATCATTAGCAAAGTTACGACTTCCAAAACTACAAGCAAGTTGAACCCACGATCGTCCCAGAAGCTGCTGCCTACAGGGGAATACCGATGGGCTACTCGAGGTATGAGGGAGCCATGTCACCTTTTGCCACTACTGGTAGAAGGAGGGCGACCAACCCGTACATGGGCTACAGCCAACAAAATCAGCAGCAGCAGCAACAACAACAGCAACAACAGCAGCAGCAGCAAGTCCAACCTCAGAGGGAAGTGCAGCAATTCTGCTACAACCCTCGACCACCCCAGCGAATGCCCTTGACCGGAAGCGTCCATGAACTGCACAGCAGCCACTTGCAAGCTGCAATGTTTGCTGAGCAGCAGGTGAACTTAATTATTATTTTTAAATAATATTTGATTTTTTTTCAATTATTTATTTTTAATCAGATGCATCCCTCCATGATGGGCATGGGAAATTACCAGCAGCCTCCCTGGATGGCTCCTCAGGCACCTCCTTATTATGGCGCTGCCCACCCTTATGAAGAAAATCCTCAGCCGCCTCAACGCCTCATGCGGTCCAGCAGCAACACAAGTCTTTACAGTCGCAGTCGGCAGCCTGATTTTTCCACAATCAGTGGAGTGACAGGCCGCAAGGCAATGGCCTCTTCACCAACAGCCAGCGTCAGGTCCAAGTGCAAGTCGCTGCCTGGAAGGAAGGACTCTTCACAGGAGTCCGAGGAGGAGGAAGAAGAGGAAAGTAATGAAGAAGAAAAGGTCCCTGAAAATGCGCCCTACCAGTGGGAGTGTGAGCACTGCACTTACGTTAACCCTGAGGGCACCAGGGTTTGTTCGATATGCTGCAAAACGCCTAGTGCCGACTTCCATCCAGCCCCGGACACTCAAAACCAAGGGAGGCGCACAATCAAACCGTCCATCAGAAGAGGAACAGCCAAGCAGCAAATCGCCAACAGGAGAGAAATGAGGGCCAACGAAGAACGTAGGAGGACCTCTGAAATCAGGGAGATGAGAGATTCAAGGGATTACAGCAAGGAAGCCAGAGAATCTGACTACTCGGAAATGGGCAGGAGAAGTCTGCAGAGAAGACGCAAGAGCAAGACAGAAATCAATGGCTATGCTGAGATTGGAAATAGGGCAACCAGGGCCAGCAGCCGACACAGAGGTAAATTTATGTTTCAATAAAAATATTCATAAAATGCAAAATTAGTAAATTTAATTAATTTTTCTTCTCAATAAAAATATAAAACACTAATAAAAATTTTTGCGTGCAGAAATTGGAAGCAGCGATGACGAACGAAGGCCCGAAGCAAGGCCAGTGTCCAGCAAAGAGCGCCGCAACACAAAATTCCCTTACAGCTCAACCCCAACTCCTCCGTCATCGCCAAGGACTCTGCCCAGAAATAGTAAGAAGAAAGTTTCCACTGCAGTCGGCTGCTCGCCTCCAAGGGAGCCTCCGCCAAAAGAAACTCCCCAGCCCATTCGTCACTTTGTCTCTTGCTCCACCTCGCCCTTCAGAGAGCTGCCCCCAGCTTCGCCAAAACCACCTGTTGAGCCTCCAGTCAAGGAGAAAACACCAGCTAGACTGGAAGTTCCAGCAGCGCCTGTTGTCAAGGTGGAATCTCCCAAGCCAGAGCCAAAAGTCAAGCATTCTGTTTCAACGGGGACTTCGCCGCCACCACGGGAAATCGGAACGCAGGTGAAAATTTGAATCTCGGTGTAAATTATTTGATTTTAATATTTCCCTGTTAAATTAAGACTTACGAAGCACCAGCTGAAGTGGCCAAGTCAGAGACTGCATCACAAAAGTCCTCGTCTAGAAGCCCAAGGTATTATAGAAAGGCTCCATCCCCACGGCTGAAGCGGGCCATGTCGTTGCACACTGGGACGCAAACGCTAATGGACACTCCAGACATGCCTGCTTTTCTTTGGGGTGAAGACGAAAGGCAGAAGCCGTCGTCAAATCTCAGAAAGACGCTCAGCAAACAGTCGCTGCGCTTGAGCGACTCCCAGGTATTATAATCAAATTTCTGTTGGATTTGGAAAAATTATTAATTCAATATTATTTTAAAGCTTATATTAACTTCCTTTTTATTTAAACACGTAAAAACATCTTTATAGAAAGGATCACATAATTTTTAATGCTCAAATTTTATTTTATATCTTTTACCGTATATAACTATTTAAATATTATTTAACGAAAGCTTCATTAATATTCCAACGCTGCTATATTTTACTATATTTACATTTTTTGTTTTCAAATTAATCATAATTATGCTTAAAAGAGCTTTGAAACCACTACTTCTATGCATAAATATGTGTCTTTCAAGAGCCTTCCAATGTCGTCTCGAGAAACCAGTCCCGAACTGGATGAGCCTCTACCTGCCTACGAGTCGAACCACCACATTAGTCGGTCGTCCCGCCGTGGTGTCCGTGGCATGTCCACTTCCGACCTGTCCAGCAGCATTTTGGGCGGCAGCATGTCCTCACTGCGGACGCCCAGCATCAGGGCCTACGACTCACGCACCAGCACCCTCACTAGCGGCAACGTTAATATCAGGGTACCAGATTGGACCCCATGAGTGTGTTGTTGTTGCATGACCACACTTTGTTTGTCCTTAGCTATGAACTAACTTCTCTGCATGTGGTACTTTCATATATTTATGTGAGTGAGAGCACTGAATTTTTTTTTAAATATTTTGTTCCATATACGTTGTGTACTTTTGCTAAAATACTAATTTTTTTTAGAATTACAAAAATATTTCTGGGTTTTCAGGGCTCCTCCATTAGGTCTGGGAGTCAACCGCCCGACATAGGGAGAAGTCGAAAGAGCAGCGCCAGTTTCCAGGGACACGAATTGGTTCGTCTATTGAGAGTGAGTGCTATTCTTTTTAGCTTTTTAGCAAGAGCGCTTTGGCGGTGGTTAAACGAGAGGCTGAGAGGTCCAGAAATAGATTTTGTTTATTACTTGCTGATGGAAGCTGCCATGCGTTGGTTTAGACAAAAGGATTTTATTTCAAATTAAATTAAACAAAGCCGGCTAAATTTTAAAGTAAGATTTTTAAATCAAAGTAAAAAGTACTTTTAAAAATCTGGCATAAATTTGAATTATTAAAAATGAATGAGCTTTGAAATTAAACAAATATCTGAACACCAATTTTTCCAATTATTTATTTATCACAATTTTTTTTTACTTTTGTTTAAAATTTACATCATCGATTTAATTGCAAGTTACATTCCAATGAGTGTGAGTATCGTTGGCTTTGCCCTCAAGCACGACGCTGCCTTTATCAAAATCAAGGTTTAAGTGCAGTCCAGTATCTTTGTGAACGATTTCATAGCCATCATCAACTTTGACCAGATTCCATAGATTCGGAGGGTTTTTGTTCAAAAACTGGAAGTGTGTGGTGGTGACTTCGTAATCATCGTGATCAACAGTTCCTTTGTTAATCACGCTGATAAACTCTTCACTCACTAAATTTTTTATCTCGTAAAATTCGCCGTCGTCGAAGTTCCACTGCCGAATAGCCCAAGTGCTTTTTGGCTCATCCTCCAAGTTGTCAGACGTGGTGAGCTTGTTTTCTTTGTCTTGAATGAGGAAATCTTCATCCTCCGAGGCTATCAGGCATTTAGATCCGAACGAAGTGGAGTACGCGTCCGTAGTCATTTGAGATATATCAAAGTCCATTTCGTCTTCCTCTTCGGCCGCAACGACCAAAGTGACCAAAAATATGGTCAATAATTTCGGAAATAACATTTTCACCTGAATTAAAAAAATTAAATTACGTTCGCGCATAAAATAAAAAAACAGAAGCTTACCTTCTAGAAGTTCCCGTTGAGAGTGTCAGGTCACCGCCAGGTCGGAGTGCTTTTATACAGTGATAATGAGAGGTAATGGTGCTGGTGCGCCGCTTTTCCTTTCAACCTTGTCGTGTCAAAAACCTTATCAGTCGGTCCCGCACACCTGACGCGGTAACTAAAAAACCTCAAGCTCGTATTTTACAAATAAAAAATAAAAATTAATTAGGCGCGGTAAGCAACGAAGCAGGTAAAAAAAGAGGAAGCGGAAATTTTTGCTTGGTTAGTTTTTCACGTTGAATAAGAGAAAATGTCACACAAAACTACTAATGAGTCATTTCAAGACAGGAAAAGTCACTCTCATTTCACCTTGGCGGACACTAAGAATTGATAAAAAAAAAAATGTTTCTTAAAAATCCTAATTATTTTTAATTTGTGTCGTAGGAGGCAGAGGAGCACAGTTTCACATCTGAGGATGTGCAAGTGGCCTTGGAGCAAACCGCCGAAGGTGACAACCCAGGTCAGGACCCGATCACTTGGCTAAGACAGCACTGGCGCAATTTGATCGACACAGTGGCCACTTTGGCCACCAACTACGGCCTGGAGAGAACGGAAAACACCATTGGAGTTGTTTCCGCTTTTGAAGCCAGAGACGCCCTTCGACAAAAGAAGGGCAACGTTTGGTCAGCTGTGACCCATTGCGTGGAACAGCGACAGAGCAAAGTATAAAATTTAATTCATTTTATTTCTTGAGCTATTGAGAATTTTTTTAATCAGTACGCGGAGATGATAAGCAAAGGAAACTTCACGCGCCAGGAGGCCGTGGCCGCTCTCGAGGCCAATCAGGGCAACGTCGAAGCCGCACTAATTCAGCTCAATAAAGCGCAGTTGAAACCTTTCTTGATGCGCATCTGGGGACCACCCACTGAGGAGGATGACAACAACGACGCCAATTTGCAGTCCGTGGCTGCAGGTAATTGAAATATATTATTATTATTATTTTTTTTAAATCGAATAAATTTTAGTCAGATTTTAACATGCTGCTTTCTTGATGGCTTGCTTTTTTGATATTGTATGTCGTCACTATAAGCTTGCTTTCAAAATTTTAGGCTATGTATTTGCTAAGTATTAACTATTAAAGTAGAAAAATTGGATATTGCATGGGGTGCACAATTATTTTCAGATGAAAACAATACAGAATCTCTGCAGGAGTTCTCGGACGCCCGATCCGACATTGACATCACCGAGGAGCTGCCACACGATGATGGTTCCGTCCACCCCCAAACCCCTTCGCCCACCAAAGAGCCTCTTCCGTCTACTCCATCAACCTCAAGCTCATCAGCTTCGCAAGAAAAAATCAATCTTGAAGTGGCTTCCATCACTGCTAACATGTCATCTCCCAATGTTAATGCTGATTTAGAAAACGCCAAGAAAATCCTACTCAACTCAAATGAGTCTCTGAAGCTTTTCAATGACTACTCTAAAAATATTCAACTCCAAGCCCAGGACATTACGAGTTTGGTGGAGAATATTTTGAATTTGAGTAAAATGAAATCGACTGAATCAGTATTACCGCCTGCCATTGTTGAAAAAGCAAAAGAGACGCCAGCAGTGATGGAGGCTAAAAAATTGCCTCAAGAAACACAAAGCACTCCCAAGTTGGAAAAGAAACAGGTCGTTGAACCTGAATTACAGAAAGTAGCTGCGACAGTCAAACCCAGTTCCCCAGAAAAATTAATCGAGAAACCAGCAGCTATTGTTGAAAAAGTGCCTCAGCCAGCCCCACAAAAGCCACCCAAAGTTGAGGATTTTAAAAAAGAAACGCCTGAAAAACCTAAAGAACCCCCAAAAAAGGTTGAACCCAAAATTCCAGAGCCAGTGGAAACAAAACCAATTCAACCAGAAACCCCAAAAGCCAAAGCTCCAATGTCCCCAACGGTTCAAAATGTAAAATCTGCTGAATCTATTCAAAGTTCAAAACCAACAGAGCAGACAGCAAAACTTCAAACAGCAGAGGCTGTTGTAAAGCCCAAAACACCGGAGGTTCAGCAAGTAAAAGCAATCCCTGAAACTAAGAATGAGCCACCTGCACCATTACTGCCACCAAAACCCAACTCGCCTAATTCAAATCCAAAATCTCCCGAACTTCCACCAAAATCAAAATCCCCTGAAGCCAAAACAGCACAAGAGGCAAAGATTTCAGTTCCTGCGGCCGAGACCAAACCAAAATCTCAAGAAATTAAAGAAGTGAGGAAAGAAGAAAATGCAGCTGCTTCAGCGCCGAAAGCTGAATTAGAAGCTCCAATCGCAAAGGAGGAAATTATTGTGCTAACTCCTGAAGTAAAGCGGAAATCTCCTGAAAGGACAGTCGAGGTGGAAAAAACAAAAGAAATTCAGGAAAAACCGGTCGAGAAAAATGCCGAGGCAGAGGCCACAAAAGTTCAGAAATCGCCAGAAACACCAAAGCCGCAGACAAAATCACAATCTCTCAGTGAGCCAACAGTGGAAGAAAAGAAGTCGGTGGCAAAAAAAACTGCAACTCCACCACCGCAAGCGCCGATTTCTCCAGTCGAAAATGAAAATGAGGACTCGATCATCGAAGAGGACTCGGTGTCAGAAAAACTGAGCACCCTGAAAAGACGCCCAAATGGCAAAATCATCTCAGCCTCAGGTACGCACAAAAAATATTTAATTTAAGCAAATATTAGATAATTTTAATGTTTAGGTGGTGCCATGATTTTTGCTCAAAGTATGATGAACGTCAGCATGATTGACGAGGTTGATTCCAGCGTCGCTCGACTGACAGTTAAAAAGCTGCCCCAGATCAGCAGTGGAAATCCTTTGCCTACCCTAGGATTATTGCGACGAGGCCTCAGTCTTGATGCTGCCAGTTTTCCTTCCACGATGAGCAAAGAGCAGCTCAAGCAGCATGAATTCGAGGTTCGAAATGGATTTAATATTTAAATAATTGTCAATTTTAATTTTTTTTTTTTTTTTAATTTTTAGCGTCAGGTGCGTCGTCTACTGGCTGAGGGCCTTGTTGACACTTACGAAAAGGCAGAACTCACGGTCAGCATCCTGGGAGAGGGTTTCAGTAAAGAGGATGCACTTTTTGCGGCCAGGGAGTGCCACTCTCTAGACTCTGCTTTGGCCTTTCTGCAGCAAGAGTGCGAGCTTTGCATGGCAAAGGTTTCAGCATCTGAAGTATGCATTTTTTTAATAAATTAAGATTAAAATTCTATGAGAGATGTAATTTTTATTTCCTGAGACGTATGCAGCTTGGGCAAATTTCAAGTTGCGCCGGTTGCATACCCAGCATCTAACTCTCTATCTCGCTGTTGTTCCAGATGATTACCATGCTGAAATGTGTGCACCGTTGCTGTAGAGATTGCGTCCAGCATTACTTCAGTATTCAAATTAGAGACAGAAGCATTGTTGATGCTGTCTGTCCATTTTGTAAAGAGCCATCAGATCTCAATGCTAGACAGAGGTAAAAAAAAAAAAATTTATATGAATTGAATTAAAAACTTTATTTTTCATTTTTTTTTTAGCGACGATGTTGCTCTGGAATATTTCAGTAATTTGGACATCATGCTGAAAAGTGTGCTTGATTTCGAGGTCCATGAATTATTCCAAAGGAAGTTAAGAGATTTTACTCTAATGCAAGACCCCAGCTTTAGATGGTGCATCAAGGTGGGGGAAAATAATGTCATTTTTTATTTTCATACTCTAAGAAGAAAAATTAAATTAACTGAATCAAATCTATTTAAGATCATAGCCTATTGTGACATCTTGTATTTTTTTCAATTTAAGAGATGTAAATCGTTAAAATAAAGAAAATAAATTGGCTACAATTTTTCCTATTCGCTCTTTCAGTGCTCATCTGGGTACTTTGCCAATCCCAAACAAAGGAGACTTGTCTGCCCTGACTGCAAATCTGTCACATGCGGCCAATGTAGACAGCCTGTAAGTTTTAAAAAAATTTCGAGAAAACGAAATGTAAATTCAATTTTTTTCCACTTTGTTGCAGTGGATGAAACAACATGAAGGCATTACCTGTGATCAGTTTGCCAAGTGGCAGGAGGCCAACGACCCTGACAGCCAGAAGGTTGGTCTCGAGAGCCACCTGGCCGAGCACGGCATCACCTGTCCTCAGTGCATGAGCCGATTCGCCCTGGCCAGAGGAGGCTGCATGCACTTCACCTGTCCGCAATGCAAGTTCGAGTTTTGCTCCGGCTGCAACCGGCGCTTCGTGATGGGTGCCCAGTGCGAGGTGAGTCCGAATTGTGCCCGACTCGGACTTCACGCACACCACCCACGCAACTGTCTCTTCTACCTGAGAGATAAAGACCCTGCCGAGCTGCAGCATTTGCTCAATGTAAGTGATTTTTTGCTTTTTATAAATTATGATTTGGTGATTGGCCCAATTTAATTATTGCTTTCAGTAAAATTCGTAAAATTTAATTATTTTCAAGTTCTTCTCTCATAAACTAGTAAGCATTATTTTAATTTAAAAATAAATTTTAAAGAAATGGTTTACTAAAAAATTAAAAAATCTCCTTTTTAAAGTCTCTAATTGAATTGAATAATTAGATTTTAAATCTTTTTAAGTACTAGAGAGTTAAAATTCGTTCTCTTTTTGGTGTTTAAGGTGCAGAATATTAAATACAACACTGAAAGAGAAGGCGCCGAGGAGGGCGGAAAGTGCCGAGTGCAGCTCCAACGTGAAACTCCCTCCGGACTGCTCGACACGTACTGCAATGAGGAAATCCTGAAGGGTCACGCCGGACTGTGCAAGTAAGTGCATATTCTGTACACGATATCGGCCAAAAATCTACAAACACCCATTCATTTATTCCCTTTGATTGCACGCGGCAGGCGGTTGATTCAAATTAAGATTGGCTGCGAACAATGAACACTTTTGTAGAGGCGCATCTGCCAAGAAAGAGAAATGTTTATTGCTGAGATGCGAGTGAGAGAAAGAAAGAAAGAAAAGTCAATAATCTTCTTATTTTATGTACTGCGCCATTAGTCGATTCGATAAACGCCTCGGTGCAATTTAGGTGAACAACTCGTAATTGAGTTTAATACAATACGAGTAAAATAACCCATTTGATGTACTCATCAAAAGTTTCTAATCTGTGAAAGGAGTGTTTCAATTTAAAAGTCATAAATTCTAACGTTAAATTCAAGATTCACTATAAGTTTTTTTTTAATTTCTTATTCATTTGATTTGAACACAAAAGGCGTAAATTATTTTAAAATTTTTGATACAAAAAAGAACTGCTCTGATTGCATATTTAATTTTATTCTAATATCACAAAAACAGCTTTTGTTTTGAGTTTTTGTATGAAATACAGAAAACAGTTTGCTCGGGGCTATGCAAGAGATGAATGTTTTCGCACCTTAGAAATCGACATTTTTACAAGTACCCTTGATACCAATCTTAATTTTCAATTTCCTCCTATCGCTGACAATAAATCGCAATAAAAGGAGCCGAAAACCTGCAATTTTCTGCTCTCACCGTTGATGAATGCGTTCCCGTTTGCAGCGATAAAATCAGCTACCGGTCGCAGTGATGAATGCATATTTAACACCGCGTCAATCACTCTAATTTCGCAGGGCGCATTACATCGAGTACCTGTGCGGGCTGATTCGAGATAACGGGCTGGACCCGGTGATCGTGCTGTCGGCAGACGACCTGGAGACGATCGTCCGCCGGGCCCACAAACGCCTGCCGCCCAGGATCTTCGGCAAGCCCGAGGCCGAGTATCGCGAGGCGCTGTTGCAGGTGAGTCTGGAGAAAGGAGCGTGATCTCTTCTCGATACTTCACGCCCCAGCCTCTTCCTCGTTGGATAATTTCTAATTTTTCGAGTTAGCACGCTTATTTGTAGTTAGAGATGTTTTGAGAAGGCGTGAAGGGAGCCGCGATTCCTTATCGTCTGAAATTTCGCCCGCGTTTCGCCGCGCGGCACCTTTGGCTTTTTGCGAGGCGTGGGACGTGCTGTCGATCACGCTCTTCCGAGTGTGTTGAGCAGTTCGGCCCAGCAAAAATCAGTTTTAATGAGCGAGTGTCACGGTGTTTAAAAAAGAAAAGCGGAACAACTCAAACAGCTCTAAAAATATTCTTTAATATTGAAAATTTTCATTTCCCACGCAATTTTATCGTCTTGTAAAATTATTAAAGAGGTTTTTTTCAACTTTATTTTGATAATATTTTAGTACTGCAGGCAAAATATATTGCACTGAACAATATTAAATTGTAATGGTACTTTAAAATATTTAGTTTTTAGGTATTTGATTAGCAGCGCTTGTAAAAAAAATTTATAATAAAAAAATAAGTAAATAAGCAATTTTAAAATAATTATAAAAAAAAATTAAATGTTTAAAAAATTATAAAAACAAAATTATTTATAATAAATAATTAAAATAAATACGGTATTTTTGTGAAGTATAAAACAATTGTTAGGATTTATAACAACATTCTTATAAACTTTATAAGTCAACAAGTTATCATAGAAGCCGCTGGAAGGTATCAAAGTAAAAAAAATCGTGCTTACGGTAAATTTTAAATTTATTGGGCTAGATCGCAAATACATGAATAAGGAGCTTCTTTTGATAAAGAGAGACTGAGCACGCTTTTAATTAAGTCAGTGGTGAATAAAAAGATAGCAAAAATCGATTTAACGGAGGTGAAATTTCACTCTCATTAAAAGATATCTATCCGAGCTGTGGGTCGGTCGACGGCGCCTCAACTCATCTGCCATTGACGCGCAAAGAGAAAAGCCGCGGCGGCACCCAACTGGGAGCTAGCGAGGGTCCATTTCCCAATTATGCATGAAAAATGCTTGATTAGTTATATTTTTATACGTGTGGTGTAGAAAGGCGCAGGCAGTGATGGCCGTGTTTGATTTTCAGGTTGTAAAAGAAGAAATTCCTCTGGATGCATAATGGAGATTGCGCAGATAAAAAGCTGAAGGATGATGAAGCATTCACTCTCGATGTGACCCCAAATAATTGTTTTTATCCTCACGTGCATGTTGCCAAATTGTAATTAAAGTCAACGCCTACGTCTCGGCGGTTCGTGGAAGAATTTGGCTCTCTCGTCGTCGATGCTTGTTCGCCGTTGGAAAAAATTCGCATTGTCCAAAAGCAGCCTGTGTACATTTTGTAGGTAAAAAAAAAGAAAAGAAGAGCTCTTATGTAATTTGTAAAAATTCCTCATTAAAAATAAAGGTAACGTAAATTATTATCGAAAAGTATATCGTGCACGAGTGGTCTTTGAACTTTTACTTTCATCTAAATGAGCTGAAATGAGAAGACAGCAGACAGCGTTTGTGAGATGCTTTGTTAAGTGAATCACGGCACTGACTTGTGACGACAACGATCGAGCATTGTTTGATTTTCGGCAACAGATCCTTTTACTCCACCTTGCAGTTGTGGTTTAATGAGTGAGATCCTAAAAAATGGTTGAAAGATGCAAGTATCTCTGATCGTTTTCAAATTATTCATGAGATCAATATCGTAAAAAAAAATACGAACCTTTATGATAAAGTTAGCAAACAGATATTTGCAATGAATAAGAAATAATCATTGATAAATTAATGTTTTGATTTCAATTGAACAGTATTTAGTGCCACAAACAGAAATGACTAGGATTCATAGGAATATTAAAGTTTTTTTTTATGAAATTAATAATAATTTTTACTAAAATTATATTTATATTCTCTCTTGAGATCATTCAACTTTATAAAGGTTTATGTCATATAAAAAATGAGCACCTGGTTCAACTAAATTTTAGGTTATTCTTGCAATAAAATATTCCATAAGCCGATGGAGTTATGAAATTATTTTCACACATTTAGATGACCTGCAAATCCTCAAAACATTGATTTTAACGCTAAAAATCTAGCTGCTGAAATATCTTCTTTTTACTGCCCATTAATTTTACTAGAAATCAAACGCTTTAATCGTCCTTCTGTCATTAAACAGAGCTTTAAAGAGGTTTTTAATGACCCCATTTTATTTAAAAGATTTTAATGAAACTGCAGTCTTGATGGTCAGAGAGATTAAAGTTTCAACCTCTTGGGAAGATTTATTTTGAACAGCCGCTTTTGGCTGCTTTTTCACGCAAAATTACTGCCATTGTGGCCACAATTAATATCCCTTTGCACCGAGGACACGGAAACACGGACGAGACTGAGACATATTTCACGAAAAGAAAGGCGAAAAGAAGCGCGCGCTCGCGGTGCAAAATAAAAATCCGTAATAAATCGGAGAGGTAAAAGGGCTTTCTGGTACGGAACAGAGGTCGCCGAGAGCGAGCGAGCGGCACCAATAAATTTGCACACATCCCTCTCATTGTATGTAGACGCGCCGCCGTAAAAAAAAAGACCACCTCATCATGCCCAGTCATAAATAATTGTTATTAGAAAGTGGCAATAATTAAAGTACTACAAGGCACACACAATAAAATATTTGGCAATCCGCCGCCATATTTAGCCTAATTGTATGCGCGCCGATAAATTTTCAGGGGACGGACGCCGCCGCAGACACCTGCGAGCCAAAAGTGGCCGGACTGGTCCTTTTATTATTTTCTCTTGCTATTATGTGACACACGCACTTGCCCGATCTTCTCAGCGGCGCGGCGCTCACTTTTTAATTTTATAGCCGCGGTGACTCGACGGGTCGCCGTTATTGATCAGAAATTCACTTTTTATAAATATTTTTATCAAAAATTGTGTTTTTCACTTGCCATAAATGCTAAAGTAACAAAAATTATATCTATTTAAATTATATTGGTTTTACTATGAAAAGACAAAGTCAAAGTCACTCAATGAATCTCTCAGTTGCTAAACTTGCATGATCCCGTTTTATTTTTATTTTTTTTGCAGGATTTGGTTTCTTTTAGCAGGTTTACATGCAATCCATATTAAAATTGTTTTGCACTTTAAGCAGCATCCAGAAGCTCTGCCTCGGAAAAATTAGAGTGTCAAGATGTCTTGTTTTGAAGTGCAATCTAATGAATTTTTTAAACTTATTTAAACATATTTATTATCAATTCCTTTTATCGATTTTCTTAAAAAAAACTCCTATATTCATGTACTAATTTAACTCCTTATTGGCAAAGTAAAATTAAATATTGACTGCAAATATAGAAGCTAATTTTTGACAATTCTTGGAAATTTCAATAATTATTTTTGAAAAGACTTGATTCAAATATTCGACTAAAGATTTTTAATTCCTCCTATGCATAAAATTTTCTGATAAATTAATTAATTTTCTAACAAATGAATTTTTGGCTAAATGAAAATAGCTGTTCTGATAAGTGTGCTTTTTTATAAAATGACAAAATAATTTCTGATGTTTGAATTTAGGAACAATAAGGGGTCCCCGACTTGACCGACTCCGTGCTCAAGGTACGAAATTGTACGCGTAATGTTGTTTGCTTTGAAAACATCTTCACGCGGCATGTTTTCATTTGAAAGTGACTCCCGCGCATGAAAAGGTGGAAATAAATTTACGCTCTTGATTTGTCGAGCGAAAGAGATGGACTACGTACCAGAGTGGAATTTAATCTTGTTGCAAAATCTCGCCACTCTTTAGGTACAATTATGTACGAGAGTAGTTTCGTCGCCCGATATGGAAAGTCATGCAAGTACGAGAGCGCGGATCATTTTCACTTTTTATGTTAATTGAAAATTACGCAGCAAACGCAAACAAACCTTTTCACCGAAGTTTAAATAATTTTTTTCAATCAACACTGCTGCAAAAATAGAAAGGACAGAAGCTGCATTTAATTTTTAATTATTGTTTTCGCATATTAGAAAAATAGCCGCTGTCATGTTTCTCGTCTGCCTATTTTCTTTGCCTAGTTAGCCCGGCAGTCAATGGAGCTGCGCGAATCATGATTGATGAATCGCTAATTTGCACCTGCACTCATGAGTTGTCAATTAAGGAGCTGCAAAAGTAGAGTCCCTTTTATCATTAATGTAACTTGTGCTACCGACTAATGACTGCAGTGGCGTGTCTGTAATTAGAACATGACTGTTCATTTATTTAGAGTTGTTTGGGATATTTGAAAATTAAATACAAAACAGACCGGGTCGTTGACCACAATTAACAGATGAAAAATAATTATTATTTCTTGGAATTGCGGTGTGAACAATTTTTGCTAGTTTCCTGTTTCTATTGGAAAGGAGGAAAGATTACACTCAGTTTTGAGTTAGGGGTGAAAGTTCATAAAAATATAGGCGTGCTTCTTCTCTGTTGTGAATTTTGCTCTCCCAGGATATTATTAGTAAGCGATGATATCAATTACGGGCGAGTTGTGCGCGTCTGATTAAATTATTACTCAACGCAAATCCATCCATCCATCGTCGGGCGGCGAAGCAACAATGAAAAGAGAGTGAACGTTTTGTGAAAGCAATTCGTCTCTTCGTGAGAGTATTAAAAGTAGTATTATATGCATGCGAAACTTTATGATTAAATTATGGTATGCAGGAAAATGCGTGGCGCAGATTTGCATCGCACAACTGCGAGCTCATGGTCCACCTGCTGAGAAATATGATTTGGTTGATCCTTGATATGTAACACAAGTATTAGTCTTGCAGTACTAAAGAGGGCATATATGCCATGATTAAAATCATCTCATTTCCTCAATTCATTTTAATAGAGGTAATTACGGAACTTTCTTTAATTTTCTTTTCTGCTTGCAACGTTTCAAAATATTGAAATGATTAAAACAGCAAAATATCTCAATTGAACACTTTTTATGTTTATATTTTGGGGATAATTTTCTCGGTCAACGTTGTTTTTAAAAAATTGCACATATAATTGGGTCATTTAGACTCACGAAACCATTAAATTCAAATTTAAAAAAAAAAAAAACTAGTTTTCACTTGACGGAAACAATTGAATTTTCCTATCTCACGCTCTATCTATTCCTTGCAATAAAAAGAACAGAAATGAAATAAAAATTTAATTAAAAAATCTAATTAATTGAGTGCTTATGAGAGGCAAAAAGTTATTTGCAGCAACGTGTGAATATGAAAAAAGTGCAATTTTCCTTCTCTATGTATATAAAAAAATATTTTCTTTAATAAATATTAAAATTTTCACCTAAATAATTAGAGACATGCCCATTAAGGTCACAGAGGTCACTATCAAGTATGCATTTTTCCTGTCAAAGGCTTGACGCAGAAAGTGAGCAGGTCTAATAACGGCTCTCTCGATCCCCATATCGCGGGGGCAAGCAAGTTCATTAAGTCTCGTTTAACGACACTTCTTTTTATTCTCGCACACTGTTTGATGGAGCATTTTAATATCATGTACGGCGAGGTCGTAAACTCCTCTCACGCACGCGACCCTGCACTGAAGTACGCCAGTTAGTTTGAAGTATCGCGAATCGACGTTTATTTGCTCTTCGAATTAATAAAAAGACAATGTTGGGCTCGTTTACAAATTCATCAGCTCGGCGAACCCGACGAGCTGCAGTAGAAAACTGACCTAGGGGAACGCGGCGCAGGGTGTATAATTAGCAGAGTGCTGTGTGCTCTGCATTGCTATGACAGCCCCGATTAATTAAATCTAAATTGGGATCCGTGGCGGCCGGACCCTCAAACGCAAACACACATCCATGGAGCATAATAATGAGCGACTCTCTCTCTCTCGCTCTCTCGCACCGACCGACGATTCACTTCGCTCTTTTTCGCGAGAGCTGCTCTAATTTTATGATACAATTTGCTCTCAAGGTCTTGCAAAAGAGGAGAGCAGAGGCTCAACATTCTTATTCTGAAGTCAGGTCCGAGGCGATTTTACGACTTGATGTGCAAAAACAGATAAAAGTTAAAATCTTGCACAATTGGTTTTTTATTGTTTTGATGGACGTTCCAAAACGGCCTTGCTAAATTCTTTTCATGTTCAATTTAGCGCAATTATTCATTATTCAATTCTGTCAGATAACTGAGAATCAAGAGTGTTTTAACTGGAATTTTGAGATTTTTTGCGCCGAACGAGAAACGTTGAATACCGCCTTACAGGGTAGGCAGCCTGCACGACACGCCGTTGTGATGATGCTGTAAGTATGACGAGCGATTTGAGGTTCTTGTCGGATGACTGGATCCTTGAGTTGTATTGTCCTGTTTTTTCAAACATCCTTGACAAAGAAAGTGAGAATGTTTCCTTGTATCATTTTTTCCTATATTATGAGCAGATTTATAGTGAGTAAGCAAATTAGGAATTAATTAATTTAACGGGCTGATCTTGTAAA